AAAAAAAAAAAAAAAAAAAAAAAGAAAAACGTCAAGTGAAAGGAAAAATGTTTCTTTCTGTAACGACGAAAGTTCTTCCGTTATTAAGCGCGTTCGCAGCGTCGATCGTCGCTCAGGATACAAAAACTACGGTGTTTCCGTTCTCCGGAAATGGCTCCGTCTTGGAATCACCGAGCAGAGAGGAATCTCCGTTTCGACCGGATGTGACGCGTTCGTCGGAGCTTCTCGCACGTCCTCCCACCGTACCTGCCAATAATTTTCTACCCGGTAATGTTATCGTGTGTTCCTTTGATCAATTATCCTGACGGATAAGGGCAGATGCAGCGAGAAGCATAACTGAATCACTGACGGGTTCTGTATGCAAATTCTTTGTAATTATTGTCAATCCTTCACGGTCTTACGTTAGGTCAGCGTGATTGGATAATAATTTTATACAGCGTTTCTCAATCTTCTGACTTTCACGGCTCTCGAATGTCACATTTTTATCTTCGTCTAATCAATTGCTCTAATACATTAGTTCATTATAATACTGTTCATTCGATGCAATAGATCAACACAAATATAATCGTATACTCATATCACACGAAACGAAATTATATGAACCAATATTTTTCGTCAGAGGTGATTAAAAAAAAAAAAAATATTCATTACTTTCAAAATTGTTTAAACTGACAGCAAAATGTTTTGGCAATTTGAATTTTTTTTGATATCTTATTATAGGATAACACCAACGAAAGAATAATTTACGCGAAAGTTCTATAGTTATCGGTTCGGTAATGCTTCTTGCTGTCGAGCAAAGTTAACGTTGCTTACGGTTTTCAGTGCCGTCGAGGATGTTTATTCATCACAGGAGTGACAACGTGCCACCTTACGTGTACGATCATCCTCACTTCGCTTATCCAGTAGCTCACTCGAATGATTATCCGCTTGGACCATCCTCGAAGCAGCTTGTGATCGTCAGCTTTATCGGTTTACTGTTACTCTTCGCGATTATTCAGAACACGATCGTGAACGTAAAGCGCAGGGAGATGTTGACAGACGTGTTGTCTGCCAGAAGAAAGCGAGAGCTCTATGCTGCGTATAATTTCAATTCTGTGGTAAGATTTCAGAGATAAATTTCTCCTGGTTACTCAGTACGTAATAAAAATATTGTTCGCACTGGTAATAAATCGAGTCAAAATTTCTTACAATTAGAGTGCGGATTTTTATGCAGATCTATATTAGGGTGAGTTATAAGTTCATTTATACACGTATTCTTAGTAACCTAAGTGCTAATATTTTTATACATCTAACTATGGACTTGATCAAGGGATAATCTATATATTCTAAAATATATATATATATATATATATATTTTTATCGAAGAATTAAATATTTTTGTATTTCTGTATCAGAAGCACCGTTCTTTAAAATTTGTCTTAGAATTTATTAATATATTAGTTGTGTCATTTTCTTATGACGCATTTAGATCAAACGAACGAATGCTTCGACAAATTCATTCTCGTTTAACTTACTAAGAACCAACGTTGTATAAACGCAACATTTCATTTGCGATACTTTGTCAGTCATTTTACATAACCGATTAACATTGTAGAAATAAAATTCCAAGAAATTGGTTTCTACTTCTAGCCTGTAGTCTACAATAGTGCAAAATTGAAAGAAATTTAAATATCTTTAACATTACGATAAACTTATAAAAGTCATTTGTTTCTCGAGAATCCTGTATAATACCAAGCCTGTGCTTATGTAACAAAATTAATGTAACAAAAATAAATTAAAAATTGGAGTCGATCAGTTTCTGCAGATATTGCATGAAAGTCCGCAGTACACTTACAGCAATGACGAAGAACTAGCAAGTTGGAGGCAATCCGATCGAAAGTTTCAAGGATAATCGAAGTTTTCTTTCTTGTTTCCTGCGTTGGTTTCCCAGACACCGGAACAGGAAGACGTTCTCAACGAGGACGCCAGGGTACGATGCATACAGAGGACCGTGTGCCTGGAGAATCGAAAGCTCTTGAAGGCGTTCGGCGCTACCGGCAAGATACTGGCCAAGTATTTAACGTGAGTTCCAGAACCGCCGATGATATTGCTTCGCGGCCAGTTTCCAACTCGCCGTCCCATAGAAATTTAATACGTGGAATCACACACCGGCAGAACTCGAACAACTCTACCTTACATCGCGAAATGCTATATTTACACGCCGTAGGAATATCAGGAAGATGCTTCTC